AAAAAAAAAAAAAGCAATACAGCAAGGGGGGAGATGACACGCCTTTCAAAAAAAATAAAATAAAAAAAAAATCAATACAACAAGGGGGGAGATGACACGCCACATGGCTTTCACACCTCGACCGGTCTTTGAGGCAATAACAAGTTATAGAAAGCTGATCGGACAAAGAAGTCCCCTCCGGTTTCCGTGGTCGTCTTCTTCCAAGCACACCACTTTCCCTTCTGGATGGACTTCAAATCTTCGGCGCCAGTGTAGTGGGGATCCAAGATGAGGAACGCGCACTCTCCCGTCGTCTCGTTGTAATCAACGCCCAACAACGTGTAGGCGAGCACGCCGCCGCCAATCATGACAGGGGTCCCTTGAGTCTGGAAATGCCGCGCAAGTTCCCGCCCTTTTGTAGGCATATCGGCCCCCGAAGAGACGGTCAGGATCTTGCACGTGACACCTAGCAGCTGATCTAGCACATAGCTCAGCTCGATCGCGCCTATCCATTGCGTGGACCCCACAAAGGATGCTTCTTTGTCGCCGATGTCGACGAGAGTTCCCTGAATCTTCCGATGAGAAGGGACGGGGACAGAGGTGTATTGCTGAAGACGGAACCAAGAGATGATCGTCTGTAGGGATCTGTAGGCGCAGCCCCACCCCTTGTCGTCCGTTCGATCTTGCATGTAATGGTAGTACTCGTACGAGCCGTCGATGATGCTTGATTGGCCTCCGGGGATGCCGGAGGGGGGCAAGCCCACGTGGACATCTCTCAGCCTTCCGCAGGAGGAGGCGGCGGCGGAGGAGGAGGAGGAGGCTATCTCGACAACGACCTCCGGAGAGAAGGACAGCGCATTTGCTACCCTCAGAAGCGGACGGATTGGCAGACCTAATCGGGCATGAAGAGCTTTGCGCACATTGACAGCGGACATCTCTGCTTCTCCACGCGAGAGAGAGTACACAACAGTGATCGGATGAGGGAACCCAGGCGGACAGAAATGGAAGGCTGCGATCTTTACCTCCTCTTTGCTCACCACATAGTACTTCTCTCCTCCTTCTCCCTCTTCTTCTGCTAATCCCGATCCCGATCCCGATCCCGCCGCCACCGCCGCCATTCTCTCGGCATTGCTAAATTGGTCCAGAAGAGCGGGAACAACCGATTGAACCACAGATTGCACCAACTTCGTGCCTCTGGGCACGCAACAAATCACATCCACTCTGAGATTGATCCTCTTCACACCCACCTTCCCCTTCGCGGGAAGGTACTCAATCATCATCGGCGCGCTTTGCGCACTGTCATCAGCGTTGGGATCCACCCACACTTTCAGCGTCATCGGCCGAGGAACACGGATTCCCCCCACCGTCGGGACGAAATCCTGACTATCTACCACCACCTCCTCATCCTCAGCCTCCTCCTCCTCCTCCTCCTCCACATCATTGCCACCGTCTGGACAACTCCGAGAAGATTTCCGTTTTGCGTTCCCCTTCTCCTTCGACAAATCATCTTCACCTCCTCCTCCTCCTACTCCTCTCTCTCTCCCCTCTAAAGCCGCCCCCACCCAGGGGCGTATTACCATCATCATAGGCTTCTTCTTCTTCGCTATCGCTGATTGCTGCTTCTGGTTGTGCACGTTTTGCCGCCGTTGTTGCGCTGCTTTCCCGCCCCCCTGCTGTCGATCTCCTCCCGCTCCCGCCACCGTCGATTGCGCCGAACCAGAAGCCGAACCGCTTTCCAGTGTGAACACGGTTCGGGCTCCGGTTCGGACCTGCGCCGCCATCTCATCGATAGCACGGGACACGTTTTTTCTGTATTCTTTCAGATCGACGGGAACGGTGAAATAGACAGGAAAGTTCATTGTCATTTCGCATCGAACCAATGCCCAGTCCTTCCATAACCATTCCGCCGCCGCCGCCAATCCACCTGGCAGCATCCGCACCTCCGACTCCTGCAGAGCTGCTGCCGCCGCCGCCACCTTCTCCGCTCCCCCGATCCCGACTTCGTTGTTCGGCTGATGACGTCGCAAGTAATAATAACGCACATCGTCCCCGACACCTATCACGTGGCCAATCACGATGTAGTCCAGCTCAGCACCCGCCGCCGCCGCTGCTGACCCGTCTCTCACCTCTACAACTTTCCTCTTTAGGAAAGCAACGTCCTTTGCCAACCTGTCTCCGTCATCTGCTTCCGATCGAAAGAACGCGCCGATCACTGACAAGCCCCTAGGCAGAAGAATGCTCAATTCTTCTCTCTCCTTGGCCACATCCACCCTTGCACCATAGCTGCCGCCGTCCTCGTTATCGACGAAATGGCAGCAGCGAATGGCGCTAAGAATGGTTAGGTATTGCCTCCCCTCCTTCTCCCCGGCGACACCGACCAACCAGCCAACGGGAAGTGGTCCCCCACCACCCGCGACCTCTCGCCCACTCAGCTGTCGAAAAGACTCTTCAAGCCCCTCCCGCTTCCACAGCGATGGAAATTCTCCTGCCATCGCCGTAGCCATGGGCGGGGCAAGCCAAGCGGAAGGAAGATAGAAGGGGGGAGGGGGGGGGGGGGGGGTACCTAGAGATCCCGTCTCAAGATGATGGAGATGTCTACTCCGTCGGCGGAATGGGATACCGCTCGATGGCGATGTCCTTCACCCACCTGAGTTGGATCTAAGGGCTGCATATCATATCTTGTTGGCTGTCCTTCGCTCCGCTGTGTATGTCTGCACACAATCAATCAATCAATCAATCAATCAATCGTTTGAACATGTCGCACCTCAATCATCCTTTATCTCACCAGATCTTCTGATAGTGGATTACTTGCTCGTGCCGTCATCTGTGTATTCATTCGACCATCGTTCAAAGCGAAGAGAAGACACAAGCTATGTAAGGGGTGTTGTGTTTTTCGGGGTAGGGAGCTTGCGCGGTTCTCTGCCCCTTATTCGTTTCCCGTTCCCGCTGCTGCGCCCTCCTTGCAGTCACATCAGCTGGTCGGTCGATCATCGGTAAATCCCATTGCTCAAGCAAGTGCATGTGCCAACTGGCACAAGCTTAATCACACGATCCTTCTCGCTTCCTTACCAGTTAACCTCTGTCTGTGTGTGTGTG